GTTTGACTGCAAGGTTTCCTGCAGCTTATCGTTGGCTGCATCTAAGGCCGTTCGCACATCACGAAGCTGCACTTCAACCACGGATTCGGCCAGAGTCTCCCCTTTATTGCTCGAATCAAAGCCACCGGACCAACGCCGGCTTTCGTAGCAAACGCTCTCCTCCAAGTGGATAGATTTTCGCCTGTACTCGTTCAGCATTGCCCTCAGCTCGACATAGTCAATGTTGAGCAGGCGGTACTTCTCCTCCAGCTCCTTTGAGGCCTCCATGTTGACTAGGTAAATTTCCTCCAGTTCTAGAAAGCTGCTCTTCGTCGTTTTACAATCGGCCTCCAGCTGCTTTGCCTTAAAAAAAATAAACTGCAAATCAGCACCCGATAGAGAATGCTGACTTTTTTTAGTACCTTTGCCTCGAATGAGTCCCTCTCCTTGGTTATCTCCTCGTACTCGTTATCGCACTTCTTCACGTAGTCTTCCAAACTTGCAACCTCCCTTCGGAGGAGTTTGATGGTTTCAAGGTGGTCGACGTCTTGGGAGTTGGGCGGCATACTCTCCTCCCAGTTGTTCACCTGAGCCTTCAGCTGCTTAGCCTCTGTACACTTTTGCTCCAATTGAAGAGCTGCAACAAGCAGAAGATTTGAGCAAAAACTCCTAATCGGTCATTTAATGTCTTACTCAATTTGCTTATTATTTCTTGGTGTTTCTTCACGTCAGCTTCCCGATCAGCTCTTTCAGCTTCCAGTTCTTGCTCAAGCGTCTTGACCATGTTCGCTCCCTTGATTCGTAGGTATTTCCTTCTAGGCGTTTGCAGCAGTTCGAACAAAGGGCTTTTCCTAACCATCGGACTGTCTTGAACAGGCGTCGGTTCGCGAGATGATTTCGGCTTTTTCGACGCACCAAATAAGCCCTCGATCGTTTTAGCCAACTGTTTATTGGTGGTTTTTTGACTAACCGACTCTAGGAATTTTTTGATGTATAGCTGGGTGGTTAAGTCCAGATCCTTGCACATGGCTGATGTTAACGCGTCTTTCCTCTTGCAAATAGAGGTGAAATGCAACAGCAGGGAAGTCATGTTGACCAGGTCCTGATAGGGCAAGTCGCTGACGTGCACACTCTCCTTTTTCTCGAACACTATATGAGGGTAGTAGCGAGAGAAGGTTTCAAAGATCACGCTCAAGCCGTCGCTGTTAATTGACTCATCTGAGGTTTCGCTATTAAATTCGAATTGGAGCGTTAGAGCCATCATCAGGCAGTTTAGGGAGCAAACTTACATTAACTTGCTCATACGGCTGAGAAACTCGCCATTTTGAAGCTGGTCCAGCGTCTGAATGGGCTGGGACAATCTAGTGCAATTTACCTAAGCGAAAACTTTCATTAAGGCCTAGAAATAGCAAACTTTTGATTTTTGTTTACCCATTTGATGAGGACTGCGTCCCACAAAGAACCTTCCATTTTCCCACTGTTTACAAACACTCACAGTTAAAACAGTCAAATGCACCCGCTTCCTTCGTTTAGGAACCTATCAAGTCATAAGTTGCTCTTTAGTTAAATGTTTAAAACTTAAAGTCCACCGATACAAACCTAGCAAGTTTGCAACTTTTAACGGTTGCTTGTTGACTGCTGTCAGTTTGGTTTGAATCATAGATAAAGACAGGATTGAATGACGGGACTATTGTACCTCCAATACTGATCTTTCACTGTTCACTGAAGGGGGCGCTGCGCGACGTAAATAAATATGGAGGTTAGCGAGTAGCGTGTGGTTAACAGGCGAAACGTCATCTGTACTTTATGTCTGTATGAGTATCGCTTTTTTAAAATTTTTTCTTAATGTACACTAAGAACAAAGCAGTTTCAATCAAATCAAAAATGCCGATCATCCATAAATTTACAGAAAAAATAAATGCAAACTTTTGAAAATTATATTTAAACGACCCAGTAGTTTTTATTGAAAATGACATCGATTAGATCAAATCCTTGTACCGTTAAATCTTGTTTTAGGAACTAAGAATCCATGATTGAACACAGCAAATTGTACAAATAGAAGTAAAATAAGCTCGTGAGTTCAAAAGTTCAAACGCCCACTGGTGGCTAAATTATAACTACAGTTTAACTATTTCCAATCAAATTTGACACTTATTTTGATTTTGAATAGATGTCATTGTCACTTACTTTGTTTGGTTTTACTCAGCTTTTGCAAGCCTTACAAATGGAAACACATTGAAAAGTGAGTGATTAGTGTTTGATATTATAGACTTAAAAACGAAGGTAAAATAATGGGGTGTCAGGAAGGCATTACCCATGTAATCGTGATTTTTGCAGTTAATAATGGCGCAGTGATGCCAGATCGGTAAGATTTTCAAAAAAAATAATGATAAAAGTTATAAGTGATGCAAAAAAGGTTATTGGCAACGGTATATTACGAAATTTAAAAAATGTGAAAAAATCGAGCTCATAATTCTGCTTCAATTTATATTCTTCTTATTTACTCTTTTAAATTCTAATAAGCTTTAATTGAAATAGGTATTTGAAAAACTTTATATGTAGTTAGAGCAGTGGCAAATCACTGCAGGTGTATTAATTTTTGCATCCCAGTAAAGATAACTTCCGCGAAATTATAAAAGACCTTAAAGGAGATTCTTCATTAATTGAGATTTCTTAAAACAATTTGTGGTTCCTCTCTACTTGTTAGCCTTCTGTAGTCCAATATTTTAGTATTTTTTTCCCATAATTAATTTTTTTGCAGATAAACGAACATTTTTAAAAATCCCTAGATAATTATAACAAATCCCTTTTTCCTTTTGTCAGAGAAAATTCCCTGGTATGGCATTACTGCATTGGCGCCGGTTTGCAGCGCCCTCGGTAGTTGAACTCGGCGAATTTAAAAAACCAAAATGGTGGCCAAAATTATAACTACAAGTTAAGTAGTAATTTGGCACTTCTTTTGTTGACCTTGGTGTTTTGTGACATCTGATTGTGATTTGTTTTGTTCTAGTCAGCTTTCGCAAGCTTTTAAAGTTTTAAAGAAACAGATTGAACAGTGTGAAAGTAGTGTTTTATGTTATAAATGTCATCAACTCCAATAATATAAAATAATAATAAAGAAACAAGTCTGACAAGCTCACCTGTCACTCGACAATGAATAATTTGACATCATTGGGGCAGAAAATCATCAGAAAATAATGCTTTTTTTGCGTTTTCGATTAAAAACGTTTTGTGATCGGTTTTGGGCAAAAGCTTAATTGTTTTCGGGAAAAAACGATAGGAATTTATTTTCGTTTTTGTCCCCAAATTGACGCTGAAAAAAGTTTTTGTACATTTTTTACAAAGCTATAAATTTATCTTGTAATTTTCCGCGTAAAACTCCTCCAGATCGTCAGTATTTTTAAGTGAAACTCGGTTTTTGAGTAGAAAGGAAGGCAAAAAAATTCGGTCAAAACTAAAAAACCACATTTTTCAACAAATGCTACAGTCTTCAGGAGAATGGAGGTGACGAGATTTGCAAATAATCTGTTATAAACTTTCGCTTATTCTGGAAAGGGATTTCAAAACTGTTTACAAAGCGACGAAGGATTAAAAACTTATTTCATAATTTTTCGCAATTTTTTTTTATTTAATAATTTTCAGATTGTCAGGATTTTTAAGTGAAACTTTAGCAAATTGAGCATTTAGAAAAAATAGTAGCTTGGCTAAAACTGAAAAATTCTGAAATTTGAAGACATTTTAAGGATATCATTAATAAATGGCCTTTAAAATAAATCTAAAAAAAGTAAAAAAAAGTCATCAACATTTTCCCAGCAACGGAACTGAGTTACTGCGGCCGGGCGCAGAGTTGGCGCACCAAGCCATTTGCGCAGCACTGCGCCAACTCTTCTCTGAGTTACCCAGGCCTACTCTCGGGAAACAATTACGAGCATAAAACGCTTAGGAGGTTGGAAATGAACTCTGGTAGGAGAAAGACATCTAGAGGAATCATAGTAAAAACCAAAAAAAAAACGTTCGCATCAAAATTCTGATTGTCCCTCCCACGTCTTCATGCATGGCCACGTTGCATATATTCAGAGGAACCGCAAAATAACTTTATTTTATGAAAAAATCCAATATACTAGGCCTACTTTCTTACATTAAGACTTACCAGTTTTAGTTTAGTTACGGGTGTTGATAAAAACGCAACACTTATGTATAGCAATTCAGTTATCGTTCATGGCGCTAGTGCGCCAAAGGCGCTTAATAATAATGACGTCACTGCCATATAGCTTGGGACAAACTATGCTTAAACTAGACTAACGATTAGATGCAGGTTGGGCAGTATGGTAAATATATCACAGTCTCGAGATCGCGCGCCTCGAATTATCGTCCCAGGACTAGTCGCTTAAGAGTAGTGGTCGATCACGTAGCGAATCCAGCCGTTGTAGTTGTAGACGGCTGTGTAGATTCCAAACTTGTTCTTGCCGCCACAGCCGTCCCCAAAACTAGTAATGCCTTGCACGCTGCAACGTAAAGCACCCTTGAAACCCCCCAAGTTGCAAGGACCAGCCCCATCAAGTACCTGTAGACCAGCTTGCTGGGCTTCTGGTTGGGGCACATTAGGCCTCCGCCACTGTCTCCTGCGCAAGTATCGGCCTTGCCGGACTTCCAACCGGCGCACATCATGTTGCCACTAATCAGGAACTCTTTGTAGGCTCTTTTGCACGTCTTGTGCGTCACTAGAGGCAGCTGAAAAAGGTCACAGTTTATTACATTGTCGCGTTCTGCAGCTGAATTCCCAAGCATTAGCTTTATTCGCGGTAGCAATTCAGGATCGGTTCAGAACCGATAACGAACCGAATTAGGGGGCTCGGTTCACGATCCTGCGTTCAGCGAACGCTTTTAGAACCATCTTTTAGGCCGAAAGTAGTACCAACAGGATTTTCGTTGCTTTGTGTCTAACAGTATTTTCCCTACACTGAAATGCAATGGAGTGAAAGTGAAAATACGGAATTGCTGTGTTTTTTATGATCATGGTTTATCTGCGAAAAGTGGCAGTTTTTGATTATTTTGAATAAAAAATAATTATTGAGGTTTTTTTATCGCAGTTAATTAATTAATTTTATAAGTCACTGTACAAACCTAAGATGTTACATCTGCTGCATTTGACCCAGAGGTGTCCTAAACGGTTATTTTTCTGTAACGGGTTACAACGTTCCAGTTTCACCTTGGTAATAAGTTTCAAAATGCGGTGCCAAAAGGAACATGTTACTTTTTAAATTTTTCATTAAAAATGCAGAATGGTGATGATAGTAGAAATAGTGATGATATATAATGGTGTCCTTTAGAGTAACTACTTAAAATTACTCCTTAGAAGTAACTAATTAAAGAACAAAAAC